TTCAGAGGGAGGATATCCTCCCGTGTTCTGTTATAAAATAACAAATAATCTATAACTTTTCATGTCATTTGTAGAATACAAAGAGACATCCCACAAGGTCTTGATGTCCAACACGTCAGGCTGAGGAGCATCACAATCCCATCAGCCCTTTCTTCATCCGAATCGTGAGACAATGATCAGCTGTTAGTAACGCTTAGTCTTTGGCGTCGCCCACACCGTCGGCATTGATGGCAAACATCGCTTCAGCCTCTGGCAGACACGGTGAGTCGTAGATTTTACAGATCCTCGTCTCTCCTCGACCTTTTCTCAGGTACAGTCTGCAGAAGGTTACATTGTTACAAGGACAGGAAATGAACATTCTGCTTAATACATTTTTTTTAGCACAATGTGGATCATTTCAACGCAGACAGTATTTAATTTTGAAACTGCGTTGTGGCTCATTATGTCAATTTTCCGGTTTTGTTTTACGGCTGACCTTTTCTTGATGAACTTTAACCTTCTCTAACCATGGTATGTATTGTTTACCATCATGGCCTTTTTGTAGCATTTAGCTATTTCTAAATTGACAATTTTGCACCTAACCTTTAAAAATGTAATACTATATAACATTAAATCAAATTTGCATCTGACCTGCTTCCCGAAAAAAATTTAGTTAGTTAAGATTAGTTTATTCTCAGTTTAAATTGTTGTTTTACATTTGATTTTGCATCACATTTTCTTCAAAGTTTACTTGCTGATTTTTAATTTAAGTATTTATTGTGTATTCTCTGTCAGCAACTATATTTTACCTTGGATTTATTCACTTATATATATATATATATACAAACACATTTGATTCTTGCCTATTGTAAATGCTGTTCCAAGTGGCTATTGGAGCACATTTATACACATTTATAATCATTTATTTTAAAAACAAATAACAGCTCTATTAATTTCTATTTCTATTGTTTTACTTTGTATGTTCATTTTTAGATACACGTATATATTTACTCATATACACTGATCATATTTTTATGTACATTATATGTTGGAAGTTCTCCCTGTTCAACTGGTAGATCCCAGTTTATTATGGAGTTTATTAATTGAACAACAGCCTTACAGTAAATCAGGTCTTTTAAACACACTTTAAGGCACTTTTGTCTGTGTTTTGTCACTCACCGTGTGGTGGAGGCATGAGCAAGAATGTTGCCGCCAATGGGTTTCTTAGGATCTGCAGAAAACATGGCTGCTCCATCAACCTGTGCCACAACCTGGTTGCTTATGACTACGGCGACACCAAACTGTTGAGACACAAATGTATAGGTGTAAAAGTACAGAAGGAAATTTTTTTTTTTTACATTTGGCAGGATAAGTACACTTGTTAGATCATCCAGCTTTTTACCTCATCTGCAAGCCTGAGCAGCATGCGGAGGAATCGTCCTAGATGTCCTTGTCTCGCAGACAGCTCTCCCCTCCCTGAGTAATCTGTTCTGTACAGAGCAGTGGCACTGTCCACGATCAACAGAGCGTACCTGTCATTCAAGAGGAGACAAAGAATGTATGTATGAGCTTCAGAATTAGAAAAAAAAGAAAAGAGTCTAAAACACATTTAAAATATTTCTAAACCCATCATGGTTCTTGCCTGACTGATGAAGATAAAGGTGAGTTCTTACAGTCCCCATATGTAAAAGCACTGTAGTGATGTTCAGAAACCTGACTCATACTAAAAACATGAAAATAGCTTTTTTTTTAAATTCTATTTTTGAATGTATCATGGTTGGATGGCTGATTACTGCCTGCAGCATGATGACATTTTTTTTATTATTTTATATATTAAAATATATAATTTCACGTTTGTTATTTTCACACTGACAGCCACAAGAGGGCACTCTAGGCTTGTGTACCAATATAGGGACATTGCTGCTTTGCTTGCAAGTCATCACTGTTATGTTGTGTCTGAAAGACACCGAAAAATATTTTGATTGATCAATTTGCGATAATACTACTTTGTGCCAAACAGTCTCTTCTACACAACAGGCCTGTTCGGATAATCTGTCGACAAACTCGGCTCTCGGTGCGCTTTTAAGCTAGGTGGAGACGGTCCCAGACAGAGATGTACAACAAAATGCTCTAGTAAGTCAACACTTACTGCAGGCCAAATTCTGTACATACCTGGATTCCGTCATCATGGCAGACGCTTGATACAGTAGTTGTGTCTGGTGGTCTGTATTAAAAGCCCGGGCGTAGGCCACATTGTCCAAAACATCGCTGCCTACGAGCCCAAATCTGAGGACAGAATTTAGACGTTATACCAAAACCCATTCACCACCACCGGGTCAAAACAACTCATGCCACTTGCTTTGAAATCACCTTTCTGCTACAGCAAGTAACCGCTCTGGTCTGAAAGTTCCTTCTGTGTCGATGTACATGGCTTTACCTTCTCCACCCCCCTGGTCGATAGGTAGCTGGGGACAGAAAGTCCATAATACCTTTAGGTCCGATCAAATCCAATACAATCCAGCATAATTTAACAGATAATGACAAGTCAAAAATAAAACAACTTTCTTTTAGAAAGATCCCCAAATGCTTCCTTTTGTTTGTAAAGTATTAATGTAGCTAAGCTAAGTTAGGACTTAGCTAAGTTAGACTTTTTTTTTTTAATTGAGTTTAGTCCACTGTAAATACATAAACTGACTTGCTGAAGCCATCTTTTAGTCTTTTTGGTATTTACTTCATTTACAAGTACATTTACATTTTTTTACGTTGGGAGATCAATCTCTGTCTGACTCCGAGTTCCAGAGCTCGCAGGTGTTTTTGATGAATCGTTTTAAATCTGCTGATGTCATCACAACATGCAGGCTGCCCAGTTTCTGCCCAGAAAACCCCCCCCCATAATAATACGCCTGTTTTTCTCCAGACATTACCCTTAGAGTTCAGGCCAAAATGTTCTATTCTGCTTTCATCATATCGTGGGGTTTAGCTCCTCATTGTTCAGACATGCTAAGAGCGCTGTATTAGCCTACATGGCTTTACTGACACCGGTGAGCATGCATACAGAAATGCATACAGCACAAATAGAGAAACTTAGAACCCAGGAACCTACTTTGTGACAGTAGGAATGTGCAAAGTTCTAGATTAATAAGTTAGCTTGTGTTCTACTTTTTCACGTTTCCAATTTCTTTTGTTAGGTAATGTTTCTGGGCCCCATTTTAATTTAATAATGCATTAAAATATATGAAAATCTATGTTATGTCAGGGTTGACTTCAGAGTCTTTAATTATATACCGCACAACTTTGCAAAAAAGAAACGTCAACTTATTTAATTAATTTTAGCTAGCTAAAGTGATCGTCTTTAAGGTTTAACTCAATAGCGCTAATTTGACTTTTTTGGCTATTTGTATACCCAATAAATAATAATAATAAAATATATTCAAAATGAAAACACCTTTGCCAATATTCCAATCTACTCCAAAAACTCTCATCAAAAAGTACCTGACATGTGACAGCAAGCGTGTGGCACAGTTGAGTCTTCCCTGTTCGAAACTCCCCAAACATCTCTGTGATTGACCCAGTCTCAATCCCACCTGCATGGAAACATACAGTAACCTATTTCATTTTCATTAGCATTGTTCTGATGATTATTTAAAGCGCTTAAAATGTTCTCACATTTTAAAATAGGAAACATGAGTAGCAGAAGATATGTGTGTGTACTACTTGGTCATGGTAATCATTTTCCACCCAGTCTTTAGGTCAGAGATGGGTCTCATTGATCATGATCATCTTTAGCACAGGTGTCAAACTCAGGTCCGCGGGCCAAATCTGGCCCATTGAGTAATTATATTTGGCCCGCAACATCATATCAAATGTTTATCTGTCTACTGGTCTGTAGTAATGAGTGGTACTTGGTGACCAGTCCAGGCTAGCGATAGACAGAGACATGATAGAAAACAAATACCACTGATGTGTGTTTTATTTCAAATTTAATTTCTCATGTGTTCATAATATTAAGCTTTCGTTGTTCTAGATTTAATGTTTACGCAAAACTAAAGTTTGTTTCCATATGAAAATTATCTACATATCTATTTACATATCTGGAGAGAAGGGAAAACATGCACAATTGCTGACAATTTTTCAATAAATATTAAGTAGGGGCCCGCCACTTCGTCCCAGTTTTCAATTCTGGCCCACTGTGAATTTAAGTTTGACCCAATCTATTGCGTCTTCCTCCACTCTACTAACAAACTTGAACTAATGATCAGAGTGGAAAGTCAGCCTTTATTTATTGGGGTTCTAGAAGCTGAGACATGCACAAGTCAGAAAGGCACAGTTTCGCCATTTAACACTGCTCGGTCGCCACACTGTCCTCAAACTCTCACTGAGCGTTCCGTATGCATATGAATGAAAAAAAAACTGCACAGCAGCAGCACTCACCCTGGAGTAATTTGTCCAGCTCCTTGGAGCCTGTTGAGATCTGAATGATTTCTGCTCTCCTCTGGTGGAATTCTGTGGCTGTGGTGAAGCCCATTGGCACCAACTTTGCTGCCTCAGCCTAAAAACAAGAAGCAATTAAATACTTAACTAACATTTCATCATTTTACTTGCAGCATATTCATCCTTCAACCCACCTCATGCGCATTTATCAAATTTTCCGGACTACAAGTCAAACTTTTTTTAATCTTGTGGCTGGGTTTGCAACTTATACTAAAATTTTCCGGACTATAAGTCAGACTTTTTTTTTTTACTCTTGTGGCTGGGTTTGCAACTTATACTCGATGTAGGTGCGATGTATAATAATAAATAAGCTAACATTTGTTATTTTCACACCAATAGCCGCTAGAGGGCACTCTAGGCTTGTGTACCAGTATCTGCTACTCACTGAAAATGTACATGTTTGCTATTTTTACATGTTTTTTTTGGCTGGTGAGACTTGTACTCCGTAGCGACTTATAGTCCGGAAAATACGACACACATCATAGCCATCACAACTAACTAGTGTATTTAACAGGTGAGCTTACAGAATCATGAATCAAACTATAAGGAATTCCATTAGGGGTTTGAAGAGGTAGCTAAGCCGTGAAGTGCAAAAGAAACATATTATATAAACAACAATATAGTTTAATAAAATGTGTATTTGTGTAGATACACACTTACTAGAATTTTGTCAGCCTTGGCCTCACTGATGCCCTTAATGTTGAGAAGCTCCTTTTTAGGTGCATAGGCCACGGCCTCAATGGTGTGGAAACCAGCGTCTTCCAACTTCTTGATGTCACTGGCACTGACTCCACTTTGCTGCAAAGGTACACATTTATAATATATAAGAAAGCAAACTTGTGAAAAATATACTATAATACTTTTTGAAAATTATCATCCAACCTTGCAGGTCACAGTAGTGCAAAAAACGTAAAGATTTTACTCAGATTGATGTAGTGCATCTAATAGTATACTGCTTTTTTTTTTTTAAACGCTAATCGTTTCCTGTTGTTTTACTTACTCATATTCTGACTCATTTGAGGTTTGATTGGACCAGCCCAGGGATGGGCAAATTACACCCCGGAGGATGGATGCCCCTGTTCAGTTTCTTAATCTGGCATGCCAAACTTTTCCAAATTATATAATTTATTTATATTACCATTATACTGCTGCCTTTTCCCTGCAATACCCACGTTTCCCCAATAGATGGTGTAGAAAATGATAAAGCCTTTTAGCCTTTATGCATTATGCAAGCACTTTTACATGTAATTTACAGTATGTTAGTTCACACAAACGCTCCATCTATCTGCTCCTGACCTGACTTGTAGGACAATTGTGACCCACAAGTCAAAAGGTTTGCCCACGTCTTGACTAGCTCCATTTCATCTCCTTGGCTAACTATTACTGTTTAACATTTCCTGTTTTGGCTGGTTTTATGGCATTATATTTTCTTTGGCTTGCATTGCAAGTTCTTTTTCTTACAATCAGATTTTTAGATAAGTATTCATTTTTTAAGTCTAAGTCTAGCTAGCATTTTGGAATTCTAACATTACCAAATTTGGCTCCCTCTCTTGTCTATTTTCATTTGACCCTCCTTTAAGGGAAAAAAATGAATCTATGAATTTGTACTTTTGTAAAGAAACAGACAGTTGTTCAAGGCTGCAAGCAAGTTAAATGCAAAATATTTCAAATTCAGGGCCTATGACTAAAATATAAGATTTCTTATTTTCATTTCGTATAAAATATACTCAACCAAATTCAGTCTGCCTTAGACAGTGCTTGGTTTTAAGTGCCACCGAAAGTTAAAAAAAATATTAAAATGCAATAATACACTTTGTGTGTAGCCTTGTACTAGACTGGAGTGTCACCGAAAGTTAAAAAAAAATATTAAAATGGAATAATACACTTTCTGTGTAGCCTTGTACTAGACTGGAGTGTAGTTGGGGATCTCTTCTTTTATTAGGCTATTTTAGTCAAACATAAGCCTGCAGAAAGGTATAATTAAAAAAATAATAATCAAATCCTATAACTATAATGTAGGTTATATTGCAGATGATATACCTCCAGTCTGCGCAGAGGCTGTGGTCCATAGTTTTCTTCCTCTTCCACCACGGTCTCCACACTGGCCTCACTCCTCATTGCCATGGTCCAAGGATGACAACCTGGTCACAGACCCGGGTTAACGTGTACTGAATGGAAAAGAATGATGACTACAATAAAAAAAAAGAAATTTAATGCAAACACGTGAATGGCTGAAATAACGTCCAAGTAAAAACAATGTGTTTTACGGTAAATGTTCAACTGGTTTGTCCAGTGTGTGTAAAAAGTAAACGTTAAAACAAAGTTACACATCAGGACACTACATGTCGTGAAATAAAATAATATTACAACAAAACGTCTTGTCAACACTGCCTTGGAGATTGGAGCGAATTGGCTTGTTTAGCTTGTTAGCTTTAACTTAGCTGCGGTGTCCGTTCTTTGGTAACAGCTAACTCGTTGATAAGCTTATGTCTCCAAGAACACGGAGCTGGATGAGATTGCTACACTATTCTTACCAATGTGCAAATGTGGTGTGGCTTCACGTTCCCGTTAAATGTGCAATCCTGTTCTTTTGCGTGTTCGTATCGTTCTTCAAACTTGTACGTTATGGAAAAACAAAGATCCCGCGCCACGAACGTGTCATGTTCTGCCCACAAAAAGCAGCACGCATTCGTCATACGCAATGACGCAACGTTTTACGTAGCGTCCTGTGATTGGTCGTGGTTTCCTCTACTTACAGCATACGGAAACGTGGCAATAACAAACTCACATTGAATTTTAAATTATGTCTGATAGTAAATATCGATATCGAACAATTTCGATAAGCGAAAAAAATAATAATAGTAAAAGAGAGACTCGTTATTAAAATACAGACGTAGATTTAGAAAGCGCCATTTTTGTTGTTAGTTTTCTGTACTGTGTTGAAAAGGAAAAAAAAACATTCGTCTTTTAATTACCTGTAAATGACAGTTAAAGTAATTTTATTGAACATTTGTACATTAATATAAAGGTTTCCAAGAGTTTTCCAAGTACATTTTTATGTGACTTAACATGCTACAAGCATGCTAACACGTCAACTACGTCTTAAGTACGAAAGAGGAAATATGAGAGTAATATATTTTGCGAGCATACAATTTGACTGACAGCTGACAC